TTTTAATAGATAACGAAGGTGGCTTATTAGCATATTTGAAAAAAATAATTTTTTTACAAATAATTTAGTACCGCATACTATACGGTATTTCGAGTCATATTATCGTTATGAAAATAGCTATTGCACTCTAGATTAAAATTTAAAATACATTTTTTTCGAAAATGTCAAAGGTTGACATTATATGTCATTTTCTATCTATTAAAATAAAAAAAATACAGAGGGTGTCATTTAAAAATCAAAAGTTGTAGTCATTCCCGGTGAAATAGGAAGTTTGGTTTGGCTAGTTCGGTTTGGTTCACACACTACCTAACCTAACCAAATCTCTTTTTTTTAATAATAAATTATAGTGGTGAGCCACTTCTGAGAAACACCCGGTATAAGATTTTTAAATACATAAAAAAGTATGTATTTTGTAAGGTAAAAAATTCAGATATTTTAAAATATCGAGGGTTTCTGTTCTCATGTCCTGTTGATGTCTCTTAAAATTATGTACAAAATTTTGTTTTATTGCTGTCGTATCTCATCCAAATGCACCAACTGCCCATTTAACCTCAAAACACATTTATTTTTATTACACGTATAATAGAAAATATAACCGTTTTCGCCTAAAATATTTTTATGTGATCTAATTAAAGAAATAAAGTGCAATAAAATCGGACACATCAGGTTACATTTACATTTACTGTGCCTTACACCTTAACGGTTCTATATTTAGATATTAGTCACTTTCCTTCAAACGGGTTATTTTATTCGTATATAACGGCTATCAATTATCAAAAATGTTTTTCTGGCATTGTTCGGCAATATGGGCGTATATCCGTTATTAAACCAAAACAAAAAGTTCAGTGATCTTGGATGATGTTTGCAAAACCTTGTGCGTAATTCAGCCTATTTATTTCCGAAATGGGCAAAGAAAGTGATGGCCTTGTATGGCAGTACCCATAAAAATATATTGTTTTATTACTTTTACTACCATGTAATGTTTTATACGATGTGTTTTATGGAATGTAATATAACGCTTGTAGTACTACTATGAAATAACATAGGAGCATAAGATTAATCAAATTTTATAAAATAAGTACCTCTAAAAATTAATTACTAATCGACCCATCAGAGTTCCGAAATAAATTATTTCTATTTTGTTTATTTCAGATTTTTACTGCATTTTTTTTTCGGAAAATATGCGGGTATTGGTAGTGCACAAAAATTATATTTTCATAGATACCTTGGTGATTCAAATACACTTTATACTAAAGTAACAGTTTTTTAAGTGAAATACTATACAGGGTGAGTCTTAAATAAGGATACGATCCGAAAAGAATTGGCTTATGAGTTTTTTTTTTGAGAAAAAAAAATTTAAAAAAAATTGGATTTTTTTTAGTTTTTAGTTAAAAACATAACTTGTTAATGTCATGGCAACGATTAAATTTACAAGAAAGAAATCCGGAAGATATCTAGTAGTTCTCAAAATTTTAGCAAAAAATTAATTTTATTAGAAATTTTCAAAGTAAAATAACTCAGTTATTTTGGATTTATTTGAAAAACGGTGAAGAAAAAATACTTTTCTAACCTAATGGAACTCAAAAACATATTCCGGCAAGACGAGGCACCGCCTCAGAACGCTGAAGTTATCAGCAAATTCTTGCAGCCAATTTCAAGAATAATTGAATAGCTAACCAAGATCCTAGACATTGGCCGTCGAGGCCGCCGGACTTATTGCCTATGGATCTATTCTATGGATATATTTGCGGAATAATAAAGGTTCTTATTTTTAAATTGTCCGGATAATCTAGACAAGAATTAGAAATACTTAGCAGTTATGAGAGGGTACCTTTCACCCTACTGTGTTCAGAAATGTTCAAAAACGGTCCAGTCTGTCCATAACAGAAGACGGTCGATATGTCGAACACCTGTAGCAAAATCTCATATCTTGGTTTGCTATTTATTTTTATTGTTATTAGATATTGTTTAAATGTGTTGATGTTGGTTAAATATAGTTTAAATCGTTATAAAATTCTGCATCTCTCATAGCAAATATTATTTTTGTTTTAATTGATGCTCACAGCTACAATTTTTTTTGCATTACAGACGGCGCCGTTCAAAGCCTACTTATTTAAAGTGGAAGAATTTTTATAAACCCTATATCTCGAAGAGGAATCGGGCAAAATATTAAGTATGCTATATTTTTGGAAAGGAAATTTTAAATTCTTTTCAACGAATTAAAAATATACAGGGTGTCCTATATAAAAAATCAAATTTTCGGTTGATAATTCTTAAAAAAATTATACTTAAATCATTCAATTCTACGTAAAAAGGCGCTTTGGAAATGTTCTTATAAAAATACAAAATTTGTTAAAAATGCATATTTTTAACGGTAGCAGATATCGATGTGCGGTTTTCACCACCATGTTTTTGATAAAAATTGAGACACCGATATTAGTTTTCGTCTATCTCCTATAGAAAAGGGTGTTTCCCTTTAAAAGCGTCCAATTTGACCCACCCTGTACATTTACCTTAAAAGACAACCCTCGTATTACGACGGCTCTATTTTTACTTATTCCTCTCTGGCCTTTACCAATGCGAAAACGTTACAAAGAAGTGTTTTCGAGCGATCTCGAATAGCCGAGAATCGCTGGCACCGAGTGGGTGCAAGAAGGTCGCCAGCTCACCACTATCTGGATCACAGTCTCGCTACTAATATGGTAAGTGATTACGTGCCAGCCGGCCGGAGCAAAGGGACCGTTCGCCGAGATAAGTGAAATTATGTGACTGTTGACCGGCGCGGCCGCTGGCCAAGAAAAAGCGACGTGAGATCGACGACGATCAAGGTTAGGTTGTGGGACTTCTTGTGCATAAAAAAGGCGATATACAGAGCGTTTTACTTATATATTTCTCTTTTAATTTGAACCACTTCTAAAAATTATGCAGGGTTAGTCTTAAGAGTCTATTACGCTGTACTTTCGGGTTGCTCTCAGGGGTCGGGTAAACCGGGTTTGTGGTCGAAGGAAATGCACCGCAAAATCTAGGGATATTTTTTCAAAACTGCCTCTAATGGCTCATTTTTGTTCGATTTCTGCTTTTTATAAAAATTTAGTGTTTTGTGGGATAAAATAAAATAATTTTATACAAAATATTGCTTTTTTCTAATCCAAAACTAAACTTTTGAAAAAAAAATAACTAATTAAGGAGCAAAAACATTATTTATTGTGTCACAAATGTTTATTTATTAAGTTGTATGACCTCCTCTGTTATTCACAACTGCCTGACATCGCCTGGGCATGCTCAAAATCAAGTTATCGATGTCAGGCTGCGGTATCTCATTCCAGGCATTTTGTAGAGTTAAGAAAATATTTCTTCTGTTGTCCCTTGGAATTCCATACGTAAAACCCTTCGTTGCAACATATCCCACACAATAACGTGGGATTTAAATCTGGAGATTGCGGTGGCCATGGTAAAACATCGATATTGTTGTCTTCCAAGAAGTCTATTGCAATCCTAGCTGTATGAGGTCTGGCGTTGTCATGCATGTATAGGAAATTGGAGCCAATAGCTGCCGCATATGGAATGACAACAGGTCCAAGTATCTGATCAACATATGAGCTACCCGTTAAAAAGTTCTCCAACAAAATGAGGTCAGTGCTGCCACCGATGCTTATTCCACCCCAGACCATTATTGTTCCTCCTCTGTAAGAGTGAACCTCCTGAACATTTTGAAGGCGAACCAAATTACAAAAAAATGCCAAAAGTTGACATATTATATGTCATTTAAATCACAGTGTTATTTTCTGTGGAATAAGATAACAAGACACCGAGAGTGTCATTTAAAAATCAAAAGTTATAGTCATTTTCTGTGAAATAGGAAGTGACCGAAAACAATTGAATACGTCAATCAAATCCTCACTTATGTCATATACTAACATATCATATCTCGATTTCTTATCTTAAAAAATAAAAAAGTTATAGAGTTGGGCCACTTTGGAGACACCGGGTATGGCTATTATTTTTATCATGCAGTCAAAAAGATAATTTTGGCAAAGAGATTTTTGAAAAATCTCTAACATTTAGCATTTACCCACAACATTTTCAGTTCTCAATAATATCATAATTTATTTATATTTCGTATTTCTAGACTTGGATGTAACTAATTTTCATACTGATTTGCAAAACTATTACAGGCCTGCATGGGTCAGCCCGTCTAGTTTAGGTTTGGGCCTGATTGATATTACTTATTCCTTCTATACGTTATAGGTAATTCTTAACATAGATGTAGAAATTAACATATTTAAAAAATGAAAACTTTGTTTTTTTCTGAGATTTGTAAATTCTTCTTTTTTTCAAATAAATAGAAGATATTCCAAATCCAAGCATAGATAGTGAACTTAGGTGAATTAAAGGTCATAACTAAAAAATTTTTTTTTTTAATATATTTTCGAAAATATATATTGTTAATAAATTATTCCTAACTCAATGGCATTTTAAAAACATATTTTTTTAATGTTTGATTGTGGTTTCAGTCGCACAACTCAGAATTTTTTCCAGAAAGCGATTCAGCCGCAAAGGTACTAGATAAGGTATTATTTAAATGTTGCTATTTTGTATTCGAAATTATTTTATTTTTTCTCTACTATAGGAATATTAAATAATATATTAAATGTTTTTATTCGTTAGATAACCAGTTATTCACAGAGGGTTTAAATAAAATGTCTAGAAACATTCTTTTATATTCTGTTAAATACAACTGACTTTTCACTACGATACAAGTGTTTTTTAAACTTTATGTAATAACAAAACACTTTTATAAATTAATAAATCTCATTCAATTTTATGATTAAGAAGGCTTTGAATTTAACATTATTTATATGCCACCCAGGAACAATTTGGCTATGGAATATTTTGATCACATTGTATATTGCCGTATTTATACTTATTTTACTTCTTGAAAAAAAAACACTATTTAAATAAAAATAATATTTAATCTTAAAATTTAAACTTATATCGAATTATAGGAATACTGAACTAGTATTATACATACAAATATCATCTTAAAGCTATTTCGTACATTTGTACCTACCAACATACATAATGGGACAAATATGAGAAGTAATGTATGTTATAATATCAAAAATATATATACACAAAATGTGACAGACATGATAAAAATATTATTTTTCTGTATGAATCGGGTACCAAACGAACTCGAAACTCTTGAGTCCAAATTTCTTCTCCGAATCTGGCTTTGGCGTGTCTTCTGATTCCAATCCTAAATTGATTAATTTGACTTTTGGCCTATATCCATTTTCGTCTGCGACATATGTCACTACTCTGCTAATACCATCACGTCCGTTCACGAAATACCTAAAACGGTTTAAGCATATTAGATTATCTTTCAAAAAATAGAGTATGCTCAGAAGTACAGAAATATCACAAATCAAAGATACCCCTATTGGTATACTATTTTTACAACTATACAAAACACCATTTTTAAAGTAAAAATTTTAATTTAAAATAATTTTATGACGCTTCTATTTTCTTTCTAGACAAAATTCAGAATACAAAATCAGAAAACTGAATTTTCTGTTACTAATTGACTTACCCTCCAACTTTGGCTCCATTTTTGTAACCCTTTTCGTAGTGTCCATGGAAACCTACAGTATAGTGGAATTTGTACAATAAGTCTGTTATATCTTTCTCTTCTATTCCTTCAGGAAGTCCATCTTGCATGCCTATAAAATATAATCAATATAAATATCGATATATTAGCGACACCATATTGTCAAGAACTAAAGAGGTAGCTTTTATTTATAAAATAAATTTCTTATTTTAATAGCAATAAATTGTTTACTCAGCTTCATGATATAGATTGAATAATTTCGCATAGAGATACCCCTCTAATTATTTTTGATTAATTTAAATCTAATGTGGTTAAATTTTCAAAATTTTAAAATTACTCTTGACTGAAAACAGTACTGCAGGTACAGATATTAAAAGTATCTTTTGATTTTATAGTGTATATGTCTAAAAATTATCCAGTTTTTGCGTTAAACAATCCCTACAGTACCTACCACTTTTTCAGAATAGCATTTTTAAAAAATTATGAAAAGAACATTTCTGGTAGCTTTTTTTCCAGTCGACTAGACTGCTGGGACTAATGCGCGCCCTTTATCGGCAAATTTAAGGTGACAAAAATGAAAAAAAAATTACAAAAATTTAGAAAAGACGCTATTAGTTCAATAATAAACAAAATATAGTCAATCTAGATATATTGCTAAATTATTTCAAATATTGACGTACTTTCTCATTAATATGAATGTCTTAACTATAATCTGTTCAGCGACAGTTCCCCTGACAGGAAAAGTTGTTCCTGCCATTTTAATTCACAGAAAAATTATATTTTCTGTCATTTTCTGGATGTCTTCTGTCAAAATATTCCCTGATCCGTTGGACAGACTAGAGAATGTCATAAATGACACACTGCCGTAGTTTCTTTTCCAATTTTTAATTTCGGAGATCAAATTTACAAGTATAACACCATCTAAATAACCATGCATATCTGGTTTGAAAAATCTTATAATTTTGAACTTGAATTAAATTTAATTAAATTTCGTAATTTTTCTTTACCCATTATAATCTGGCATTTTTTTCATCATTCCCGAGCCCTTTAATGTCTTAAACTGCCACAACATCTTTGGGCTGTGTAATTTTTTTGCGCTAATGAGTTTATATAACAGATTTATTATAATTATACGATTTTTTTTGTCTTAATCTCATGAAAGGTTTTAATCAAAACGCGCGACTTCTACTTATTTTTAAATAAACTAGTTGAAGCCTGGCGCATTCGCCACAACATCAGGAAAAAAAATACTTTTTATTTTTTGTTTAATTAAATGAAAAACAAAAAATCCGGCGACGACAGTTTTTAGAAGAACCAATAAGCTATCTTTTAGTAAAAAAAGCAACTTTCTAGAGCAAATCGTTACTTCAGTAGAGACGACACAGATAAACATCAGCTTTTTATGTATATAGATACTAGTATACCTTCACCATCAGTCAAGAAAATCAAGTGATGTAAACCAACAGGATTACTTAAAATTCCTAGCCTAACATAAGAGTTAGGAGTTAAAATGTTCTAATATACAGTATGTCCCCGGATTGTCTTTACTAGAGGAAAATTTTTGCTTGTTCAAAAATGGTTAATCCCGTTTATACTTTCCCAAATTTCCATACCGTTTTAGAGAAAATTAAAAAAAACACGAAAATATGATGGAATTTTTCAAGTACTAAAAATCAAAACGCGTTTCTATGGCAATATAATTTCGTTTTCATTCTTTGATCGATTGTTATTGATAGAATTTTAATTTAACGTCACATTTTTTGCTGTAAAGAAACACAAAATTTATTTAGTTCAATGCTACGGAAAGGTGATAATGGTTATCAGAAAATGTGATACTTTAACAACAGCAAATAATATGACATTAATTAAAATTAATAATAACCATCTATCAAAGAGCAAAATCTAATTTATATTTCCATAGAAACGCGGTTTAATTTTCAGGACACAAAAGAAAAAATTCAACCAGATTTTTATGTTTTTTTTTTAATTTTCTCTAAAACGGTAGGAAATTTGGAAAAGTATAAAGGGGATTAACCATTTCAGAATAAGCAAAATTTTTTATAAAAAATTCATTTTTCTCAAAATATCAATAATAAATATTTTTTTCTTGTAAAGACAATCCGGGGACATACTGTATATAGAGGGTGATCTAATAATATTTTACACTAAAGTAGTATTTTTTTAGATGAGATATATTTTTTTAAATTTAGAGCTCAAGAATGGGAAAGAGCAGTAATTATATATTTTGGCAGAGTTTTGCCCACAAAAAGAAACAAAATTTTACAGTTTCTAGTTGAATTGCAAATGCTTACTTTGTGTGAAATGTTATATTTTAATTCCTTTTATTGTTTAAATTTTTTGATAAGACAAGTTACTTATTCTCTTTCTTGTTATCTTTTTTTAATTTCAAATAGTTTACCTGGAAATTTGTCTTTAATAGGAATATGCTGAGGATTGTCTCCTCCCACATGAATTGCTCCATCTGCCACTGACACGGGAGGTAAAGCAGGAGCTCCATCAGCTGGTCCAGGATATTGAAGAGGATTTGCCTCACCACCTGCAAATCATTACTATTATTATTTAAACCACCAACCACCGTTAGACCTAAACCCCGTCACCTTCTGAACCAGGACCTGAAGCTGTATTTCCTAAAACATTATAAGCTTCTGGCTGATTATAACCACTTCCACCACCAAATTGTGCTGATCCAGATTCGGCATTCGATTCGGGTGCGATATTACCTCCAACTTCATTAGCTTGTCCAGATTGTTGAGACCCATAAGTATTGTCATTGTTATAAGCACTGTTACCTCCAAATTCGGATGTACCAGATCCAAAACCATTATTATTAGAATTACCACTAAAACCGTTATCTACTGCACCTCCAACATCGGTTTCACCTTGAACCGCCGACCCTGGTTGTTGTGACTCACCTGGATTTTGATAACTAGTGTACTGAGGTCCGTTGATGGCTTCGTAGGGAGAAATATTGCTTTGTGGTTGACCTCCTGCAGAACTTTGGGATGATTGTACATCTTGAGATACAAATCCTTGGTTTTGATTGTCCTGTTTATAAACTGCATTGTTGTTCGTTTGTTGTTGTTGGTTTTGGTTAAATTGTCCCTGTGGTGGCTGAAGCTGCTTATTTTGTTGATTCTGTTGGTCTTGTGCTTTAAATACGGGATTTTGGAACTGGAAGTTGTTATTTTGACCTAATGCCGGGTTTGGAGTTGTAACGTAACCACATGAGGCTAATTGTAAAGAAAAATAAAGCAATTAAAAGGACTTATCAAATTATCAGTTCTAGGGCAATTGAAAGTTCCAGGGAAAAACATGATAAGTTCCATTTTACTAATTTTACAGGAGAGTACCGGACGGCTGGTGGTTATCAGGTTCTTTCCGTGTATTCTATATTTTTAATAGACATATATCGTAGGATTTAATGACTTATTGCCCTGCAGAGTTCATACGTTTTGTAGGGACCAGTTAGACTAGGGTTGCCAACTTTCAAAACAAAAAACAGAGGGTAAAAGCGCGGGTAAAAAAGAGGCATAGACGAAACATTTTTTGAACCCTCGCCCAAATGTCTAGAATTTACCAAAAAGTTATGACAACGGTATGCGATTCATGGTCTTTCTTACTTCCTTAAAAATATTTATACTAAAAACAACTTAATAAAATAAAACAGACCGTTTTCAACAAAACTTCTTTTTTTCAAAACATAAGCTAACAGTAAGTAAACATAAGATAGGTGTTTAAACATGTTTATCGCTTCCACGAACATTTCTTGTACATAAATATTTATTCATTTTCACAGACTAACAATTTTTTAAAGCATTGTAGAGATAGACGAATATATTTTTTTATATTTTGAGTTTGATATGTAAAAATATATAATCCTCTGGGATAGAGGACGGTTGGCACCCCTAAGTTAGACCCACTATGATATTGTAAAATCATAAAATTAAGAAATTGTTGCTTATCAAGTTATTCTCCTAGACCCTTCAATTGTAATCAATTTATTATATTAATGTCGTAGTTATTTTAGCTATTTCGGAAGAATGGACTCTTTTTGGATATTTGTTAAAACTATACTTACCACAGGCTGGTTTAATTGTAGGTTGCGTGGTAAATCTAAATGGTGGAGCGTTACTTGGAGTAACATCAACTGCAAGGGGGTTGGCAGATTGTTGCACTGGAGCAACACTTGGTGGTGGAGCTGAAGATTGTTGTTTAGGCAGTGGTGCTAAACCTGCTTGTTTCCGATATTTATCGGCTTCTGGGGATAGTTCTCCCCTAAGAGGCGAACCGTCCAGCGCTACAATTTAAATAAAAAAGATACCTAAATAAATATGAAAAAAAATGTATCTAATACACACACATCCAAAAGTAAACGATACTATATAGGTATGAGTAAACAAATTTAAACTTCAGTAGTTTCTTAAAAAATGTAATATTTTGGTGTGACTAAAAGTGCAAGCCTAAAGTATGTACGAGGATGTATTTCAGGAAAATACTTTAACTTCAACAGGGTGGCTCAAAAAAGGGTGAGTGGATCGGGATGCTCTTTTTAAATGGAACACCCTGTATATTATTGCATTTTTGGCTCCCTTTCAGATCACTTTACATAATCCTAGGATATGAGTTCTAGCTCTAAATTTAAACAAAATTCTTAAGTTTTTTATTCTTGGAGTTACTGATGGTCGACGCACTTTTGTCGGATCCTGTATAAGTGACGCCTGGTTAACTGGATCATCTGTGTAATTCAGTCTTCTCATGATATCTTATTCCATTGTCCAAGTATCAGTCGTATGTCGTCGTTGAAACTTATATACTTCAAGACTCTGCTTTAGACGCAGTTGCATTCAAGAGTTAAAAAGAAAATACGGAATTCCACACGAATGCTTTCTATGCAAATTTTATTCTTTTGTTAATCTACAAAATTTGTGAAATGGGATTGTTTATCAATTAACTCAAATATGTAGAGATCTACATTTACTATATCCAGTGTGTTATTATAGGAAATTACAATAGGAAAGCATTCATTCTATTTGATGCCACAAGGTCCATTTAGAAGACTTGTAATGGTCGTTTCATAATTTTAAGAAACACGAATAAGTATGGTTTGGTCTAGTTTTTTTTTAGTTTTAATAGGGCATACATTTACATTATCATTAACTTTTGAACATAATTTTTAAATTTTTTCGATCTTTTATTATTGATGATTAGTTCTTATTTTTTAATACTTACGTGCACTAATTCGTAGATTCCTCATGCTTAAAATTTTGAAATTTCCATTCTCGTCTGTGGCATACACTGTCACGTGATAGATTCCATCTGCGGTTATAAATCCGAATTCGCCCTGAATAATTCCTTTTTCATCTGAAACAAAAGATTTTTTCGTGTTATTTAAGCAGTTGGGGACTTTAAATATTGTTTTTGAAAGTGGAGATTTGTGAGGAATATTAATAAGTCATTACTTAGAACACAGACTTTGTAATTTGCAAGTTAAAAAGGAATACAAGAATTTGCACTTTGAAATGAAAAAAAAACGTACTTTGAATACTAAAGATCCTATTTTGCAATAGTTTTTCACATTTAGTGAGCATTTTCAAATATTTTTTTTTCATTAAACCTAGTTGACAGTCCTTAAGCCATAGTCATTAAGCTTGTTAGACCTACGTCCATAAATTTGCCAGAAAACTATTGTTTTGACTCATTTACTTGCAAACAAAAAATAACATTTGTTTGAAAACCTCCTTATTTACCTTATTAATAATTTCTCACATGAGCTCTTATTTTGGGAAACATTTTATATTACTAGTTTGCATTTTTGTCTGGGTTATAAGATGCTTGTTTGCGGGTATATAAGCATGTTTCTAAACGACTTTTATATGCATGTTTAATTGTAACACTTCATTCAGAACCTCTCAGTTAGTAGAATAAATTAGTGGTTTCAATTACACTTTATACTTTTTAGTTTACGATCATTGACAATGTCTAAAAAACTGTTGTATCCATAGAGAAAGCCTAATAATTAGCTTATAAAACAATCAACTTTTGATTTCTAACCACAATTTCTCTTGACGGAAAATAGTCGAATTCCGAAATTATATTTCTTGCAAATTTTGAAATATAATTAGTGGAAAAGTTAAAAGTTTGATAATTTTTTCTACTAATTGAAAACGTCTACCACTAATTTTGACGTTCTGAATGCTTACATTGAAATTAGAGGAACAAACTTCTACGCTAATTGAAACCACTAATTTATTCCACTAATTGGGAAATTCTGTATGAAGCGTTTGTCTGGATCTGTACTAGGCTTTATAAAATTAAGTCATGCTATAGTATCACTCTTTATTAACAGATATTTATTATAGTGTTTCTAATATTGTGTTTTATTAGAAAAAAATGGAAAATATGGCACATTTTTATACCCTAGTACAATAACAACAGTTTATATCTAATAAATTTATAAAAAGTGTTTTTAAAATATTAAATAAATTAAGATATAATAATTATTCCAGCTGAACTTTAATACAACCTTTAACTCCGGTTTTCATCATTTTCTCCATTTGAAACTGTTTTAATTATTAAAATATCAATCCCAAATGTCACTTATAGTCAATACTACGCGAATATGTCTTATTACATAGATTAAACCCTGAATATACCATATGATAAAAACGGCGTCAAGTTGGCTTGGACTTAACAATTGATAAAATTCATTATAGGTATAAACCTATAGAATTGATAAATATTTTTGAGACGAAAAATGATTCTCAATTGACATTCTTTTTTGACAAATAGTGGTAAATTCTAAACCGATATGCCTGAATGATACTTTATGCTACTTGAATTAGGGATTAACGCAAACTTTTAAGTTTTCATAAAAGGGATCTAGAATATTAGTGGATTTTTACTCATAAACAAATTTACCTAACCAACAAAAAATGGTTGAAATTTTAGGAGGTATATGTCCGTCCCATTATATTATATTCATTGATGCGAATTATAATATTCATTGATATTATATTATATTCATGACCTGGACACTTAAAACGAACATTATGAGAAAACTACATGTCGCACAACGCTCAATGGAACTAAATATGCTAAGAATAACCAAAAAGACCGTAAAAGAATAGAGTGGATACGACAAAAGAGCCGGATAATAGATGTCATCCACAGAATCAAATCCCACAAGTGACAATGGGCAGGACATTTGGCAAGTAGAATGGACAACAAATGGACCATTACTGTATGGTACCAACGAGGAATTAAGAGACCTAGAAGAAGACCAGACCTGAGATGGGACCATGATATTAGAAAATTATCAGGGATAATAGTGCCCAACTGCAAAGAGATTATCTAAATATGGTAGGGAGGCTATATCATACATTTATATTCTCTCTTCAAGAGTATATAAATAATACCTGGTGGAGATGATATAATCCCCATCATGTTATATGGAAGCGAAACCTGGGTGCCATACCGCCGACACATGAACGCATTAAACAAGTTGCAACAGAGATATCTTAGACAACTCTTAAGAATCCGATGGTTCCATCATGTCTCAAACGTATCGGTCCTTATCTCAAACGTATCGGTCCAAAAGCTAACTGCGAGAGTATTGGTTACAAAATCCCACTTATGATGGGCTGGTCACGTATGCTGAATGCAAGAAAACAAGACATTTTTACACGAAAACATAAAGGGGATTAATATGCAGAACGTGTGAGAAGAAACAGCTCACAATAGAACTCCATGGATAGGTATTGTAAACTCAGTTAACAGCGACAACCAAAAGGCAAAGAGGCAACAAAGCAATGAGATTTTTGAATGTCCGGAGTGCGGTAGGCAGATAACATCACGTATCGGGTTTTCAGTCACAGAAAAGCTCATGAAAGAAAACGCCTTGCGTGACTATCTTCTGATGCGTGTCAAATGTCAAATACTCGTCAGCGAGTAAGTTATGTATGTAAGTATAAATAATGCCTAAATAAACAGAAACAAAATCAAAATCCAATATTTTCTCCTACAGTCTTTATTAATTTTCAACAAAAAATAATAGAGACCAACAAAAAACATCATAAACTAACAAAATTATTAGTGTAGGTATAGTATTTTTCTAACAAATATTATATTATAATCTGCCACAAAAATGATACAAAAAAACCGCAAAATAACTGTATCAAAAGCACAACGTCGAAAGCGTATTCAACCCGCTATTATGCCCGACACAAATAACCTACTGAACCCGAACAGATCGAGAAGGGGAAATATTAAAAAGAGCGACAAGAAAGCCTTTTATGATATTTTCCAAATGGAACAATCACTTTACGTGGCGCTTTTATACCGCGTTCCGCAGTCATCGGCGGCCGGCCTTTCTGCATTGAGTTAATATTGATTTTTTAATGCCTTTGTTCGTGGAGCGGCCTGAAAAGATTTCGATGTTTTTCTTTTTAAACGGGAAAAGGGGCCACAATGGGTTTTGGTCTGCGTGCTCGGAAAACTTGATCGGGAAAATGTTTTTACGCCACGGTATAAGTGTGACCTGGTCTTATAAGACAATTAATAACAATTGCTGATTTTTTGATTAATGAATAGCATGATTGAGGTTTTCTTCTTCTTTGTTTGGTGTAAGACAAAAGCAAAATTAATTTTATACCGTATGATCGAAAAAAACGCCGTCAAAGCCACAACGTAGGTAGTAGATTAAATTTACAAAAAATAAAACCCAGAAAAGATCTACACATGAACGCATTAGAGTGTTTCTCAAAATTTTTTTAGAAATTTTCAAAGTAAAATAACTCGGGTATTTTGGATTTATTTAAAAAACGGTAAAGAGAAAATATGTTTATTTAAGATTTTTTATTTTTATTTAAGATTCACCCTGTATATTGTTGTTAAAAACCTTAATTATCATTCGTCTATAGTTTGTGCCAAACAACATTTTCTTTTTATTTACTAACAATAATGAGAGTATACCAGTTAAGTTGACTATGCAACTATGTTAATATACCGGGTGCGTCTCAAAAGTGGCTCACCCCTATAACATTTTTAATTTTTCAGTTAAAAAAACGAAATTTGGTATGTTAGTATACGACATAAATTAAAACTGATTGAAGTATTCAATTGTTTTCGATCACTTCCTGTTTCACCGGAAATGACAACAACTTTTGATTTTTAAAAGGCACCCTCGGTATTTTCTTACTTTATTCGATAGAAAATAACACTCTGAATAGAATGACATATCATATGTCAACTTTTGACAATTTCGCATATAGTTTATTTGAAATTATAACTTGCGGTTCGTAACGAAAAGTAGACTCGAAATACCAAGTGTGTGGTATCAAATTATTCGTAAAAAATGCTTTTTCCAAATATGCTAATGAGCCACCCTCATTCCATTTGAAAAAAATGAGTTATGATTAAAAATACGATTTGAGAATTTTTTAACCGGCCCAGATAAGACACTTAAAACATTAGACGATCAAATCTATTTTTCCAAGGCTCCTTGATTAAGAATTAATGTTTTTAACATAGCCATGGCACTCTAGATTGAAATTTAAAATACAATTTTTTCTTAAACGAAAATGTTAAAAGTTGACATATGATATGTCATTCTATTCAGAATGTTATTTTCTATCGAATAAAGTAAAAAAATGCCGAGGGTGGCATTTAAAAATCAAAAGTTATAGTCGTTTCTGGTGAAACAGGAAGCGACCAAAAACAATTGAATACGTCAATTAATCCTAATTTATGTCATATACTAACATACCAATCTCGTTTTTTTTATCTGAAAAAAATAGTAAAGTTATAGGGGTTGTAACGTTGGTACTTTTGAGACGCACCCGGTATATGTTCTTAAAAGTTTGCATCAAATTGAAAAAAGTGGTATTATCGAAAAAACGTTTCAATTCAGCATGTGAAATAACAGAACATTATTTTGACAGATCTCATGTGACAACTGTCAAGTTGGTAAATTTGAAACAGTCCCCTTTATAACTTTGACTTGCATGTTACATGTCATTAAATGAGAGAAAAAGAGCGCGCTCTTCAGCTTGTTCCGGCACTAAAATCGTAAATTAATATTCAGCCCATAATTATTTTTTATAATATTACTGATATAGTTTTTGTTGTAACGAAATAGATATACCATAAAAATAAACGGAATTGATTAAATTACATTACATTACATTCCTTTTTTGATTAAATTAGAATTTTAGAAAAAGAAATGTTGTATCTAATTTTCGGGGATTTGAAAAACTAAAAAATAATTCACAACCAGATTAGGAACGCTACATTTCTTTGCAGATTGAGTTCTCAATCGAAATAGACCATTGTAATTTAAATAGGAATTAAAAATATCATAAGTATTTTAATGGCCTACTTGATAAAAAAATATAAATATACCAATAATTAAAAAAAATAGTCAAAATTTTATACCGAATATTCACAAAATACGACGGAATAAAAATATTGACAAATTTTAAAACCAAATTAATATTTGTGAACTAATGTTCAATTAAGAAACAAGGGCGACCCCGTACGTCAACCATTGATACTGATTGGTAGCGCCTCTGATAACTCTTCGCAAAATTTAACTTTAATTTCCTTAATGGAAATAAAAGTTAAATTTTGCGATTATTTTTTTATCATTAAGATTTTGTTATTATCATTAAGGAAAATGTTGTAAAGAAGGATGTTTTGTGATTCAAAAGTAGTTCTTTAAGAATATTGAAACTAATAACAAGGTAGAAAGAAAAGAAACTAAGAAACTAGAGAAAAAAAAAGAAATCATGATAAAAAATGTCATGACACTAAATAATTCTAACAAAAATAATAATTGGATACACTGTACATTAACTTATTCCAGTAATAAAAATACCTTTCTTCTCGTGCCTATGCTGTTCTCCATCAATGGTAAATCCAAATTCGTAAGGGCTATCTTCGTCGCTTTTCTTTTGGCTTGAACCTAATGTAACCAAGAAGAATGTAATAACAACCTGAAACAAACATTTTTATATCAATTTTAATTTTAAACTGATAAGATGATATTCCTTGAAAAATTGCGAGGACCGTACCATTCTCATTTACCAGTACTCTTTTAGCATAAGAAAAAATAATTTTATGTGAATTTTTGTAATAAATCGTGATCTATTAGATGAGTACAATAATATCATTAAATAACATCTATAAAATTTATGATCTAAATAAAATTCTTATGTCCATTGTTTCTTTATAGTTACTGTAATTTAATATGACATTTCGAATTCTTCTACAGGTAATATGAGAGTTTTATTGTAATGATTGTCATCTTTATGACTTGATATGCTAATAGTTCAAATAAAAAACATACTTAAAAAACAACTTTATTCAAACTCTATTTAATAGTCTGATATAATGAAAGAGATTAAAAGCATTAATTAAGCATGCTGTTTTCGTACGTTATACAAATGTTTAATCCGATTTCTTATTAGTCGTCTTCACTACCTTATTCATTCAAATTAATAATAATCTTAATGATCTGCTAACACCTGTTTACTTAATTATTTAAATATTCGAATATGTTTGATTTGTTTTCGGAAAATATCGCAAAAATCTTCTTGCGGTTTATTACATAATTCAAAGCAAATCCTTAATTTATTATAATTTTATTCCAAGTTCAATCGCTACTCAAACAGAATTTTTAGTTAAACAAATAAAAGAAAAATGCTTTTGTGATGATAGACTTGAAACTATTTTTTGCTATTAGCACTTTCGGTTTCAGTGTGACGACTTGGCAATTGATGAGTTATTTTTAGATATGGAGAGAGGTTTTTTGAACCAACAGATATACGGATCTGGTCATTGAAACTGCGTGGTCTGGATTTTAACGTGTAAGACGGTGATGTAAACAACTTAATGAAAAATAAAATCTATTAAAAAGAGATTAAAGTTGGGTTGATATATTTCTTCTATGCGGTATTGAAGGATTTTGCATCAAAATTTTTACGAAAGATGTTGCATCTACGGTTGGAACTTTGTTTTTCACAATTAGTTACTCATTTTACTACCGCACTAATAGATTATATTTAGCTTAGATATATTATCATCATTTCAGTAGTATGTATGAAAGTTTTTAAAATAGTATATTTTTGTCTACACACGTAAAAACCGACAATACTGTGTGCCGCTTTTTATCTTGTCTCTCTGTCTATCAACCGGTCATTTATATTTATCTTTGTAGCATGCATTAAAATAGAGACAACGCAGATGAAGTGTCCAGGATGGTATAATATAATTAAACCCAGTATTATACCGGGTGCGTCTCAAAAGTATTTCACACCTATAACTTTTTTATTTTTTCAGACAAAAAAACGAGATTTTGTATATTAGTATATGACACAAATTAGGATTGATTAGCGTATTGAATTATTTACGGTCACACCTGTTTGCCCAAAAATAATTACAACTTTTGACTTCCAAATGACACGAAAAAACCTTTTCAAATGACACCTTCAGTATTTTTTTTGCTTTATTCCTCCTTTTACCTAAACACTCCTTGGAATGACATATCATATGTCAAAGTAATGTACAGGGTGATGACAAACTTTTTTATTATCGCATAAATATTTAAATATCTAAAACATACTAAACCCTTATAATAAAGGTCTTATTTTATGCCCAAGAATCCAAAAATGAAATAAAATACCACGTGTTCCATAAGAAAAGATATATCTTTGGTATGGATCTTATTTCTGACACACCCTGTGCATTTGATAATAATTTTAAAATTATGCACATTGCCTCTCTACATATACCCATAAAAAATTATGTTTCTACTTTCTGTTTTCGTATAATCAACCGAGGCGAATGAGGTGCGCCACCCTGTATTTGTAGCGTGCCAACTACCTCTAATTTTAACAAAAAAAAATAGTTTGCATTATTAATAAATACATTTTAAAATTAGCGGGCATTAACTGTATTATACTTTTTTTTAAATACATTAATTACATAAAAATTAGTCGTTATACCCATCAAACGACAAATAAGCTTCAAAAAATTCATTCCTTGGTAAGTTATGTATGATAATATTACTATTTTATTCTTCCAAAAATAATAAAATTTGTCTTAATTTTTATCCGCAAAAGGATTAGATATAATAAATGGCAGATTTTATTTTTTTTTAACCAAAACAGGTGCAAAAACCTGTTTGGTTTCATATTTAATTAAACACAGGTTATTCGTATGAAAACATAAAATTTTGATAGGTGGCCAAATGAATAACCATTAATTTTACTAAAATAATTTAATTCAAATGATTATAACAAATTATCATGTTTAATGGAATTAAAAATTGAATATTATATTAAAATTTACTTAAGACCTAATAATATTACAAAAAATAATAATATGTTATGAAGTGTTTTTTTTACTCTGCCCGAGTCAGGAAAGGATAATGATTCTTGACATTTATTATTTATTTAATTCTGTCATTAAGTCATTGCTTCATTAATTAAACATATGGTGTAATTTTTAATAAGTAAATATTGACTAAGATAGTGAAGTGTCCTGTATAAGCTGAATGGTATATTATAAAAGATTAAAGTTTATTGGTGATAATTTATTTATACTACAATCAGTTGTTCAAATTTATTTATACACTAACAATCTATTAATCAATTTAAAGAATTTTAAGAATCCGTTTACATTTAATTTATTATTAATTAAAACCAATTTTATATTAAAAACTATTATTATTGATTCTCGTAGAATCTTATTTTATTAAAAAGTTACAAAATCTTATTAGCAATAATATCTCAATTTAATACCATTTTTATTAAAAATTAATTTAATATTGAATATTGGTGCTTTCAGTCGCTTTGCAAAATGCCTAATGAAGACTAGTCAGATTGAACAAAACATTTTACGCGGGATTGGTATAACTACTCTAAATTTATCTAACGACATTTCTTGATCTTCCCTTTCAAAATTTGGAAATAATGGCACAAAAAACGATAATTTTGTTAAATAGAGTATGGTTGTTGTTGAGGAGTTGAGGAGGATTGTTATAAAGATCTAAATTTATTTTATTCTAAAAGAAAGCAAAGTTACCTTATACAGGGTGGGTCAAATTGGACGCTTTTAAAAGAAAACACCCTTTTCTATAGGAGATAGACAAAAACTAATATCGGTGTCTGGAGCTCAATTTTCATCAAAAACATTATGGTGAAAACCGCACATCAATATCTGTTACCGTTTCGGAGTGCATTTTTTACGGTTTTTCAAAAATGTGCATGTTTTACAAATTGCTAATGGAAAATTTTGTATTTCTATGAAAATATTTCCAAAGCACCTTTTTACGCAGAATTTAAAGATTTAAGTATAGTTTTTTTTAAATTAATAATTTAAACACAAAAAAAGTTGAGTTATCAACAGAAAAATTGATTTTTTATTTGGGACACCCTGTATATTTTCAATTAACCGAGAAGAACTTAAAATTACCTTTCCAAAAATATAGCACACTTGATATTTTGTTACAATCCCCTTCGAAATACAGAATTTTTAAAAGTTCGCCACTTTTAACTAGTAGGCTTTGTACCCCTTATTGATGATATATGCCCTTAAATGGAACTCGAAAACGTATTTTTCCAGCAAGACGAGGCACCGCCTCAGAAAGCTGAAGTTATCAGCAAATTTTTGCAGCCAATTTCAAGAATAATTGATTAACTAACCAAGGACCCAGCCGTTGGCCGTCGAGGCCACCGGACTTAGTGCCTATGGATATGGATCTAATCCTATGGATATCTTTGCTGAAGAATAAACGTTTTTATTTTTAAATTGTCCGTATAATCTAGACAAGAACTAGAAATACTTAAAAGTTATGAGAGAGTATCTTTCACCCCCACTGAGTTAATGAATCCGCAAGAAATGTTCAAAAACGACCCCGTCTACATTTCGAACACCTGTAGCAAAATCTTGTCTCGGTTTGCTATTTATTTTTATTGTTATTAGATATAGTTTAAATGTGTTGATGTTGGTTAAATATAGTTTAAATTGTTTTAAAACTCTGCATCTCTCATTGCAAATATTATTTTCGTTTTAATTGATGCACTCAGCTAGAATTTTTTTGCATTACAACCGGCGCCGCGTCGTTCCAAAGCCTACTTATTTAAAGTGGGCGAATTTTTATTTTTCTATATCTCGAAGCGGAATCGAGCAAAATATCAAGTGTGCTATATATTTGGAAAGGTAATTTTAAATTCTTTTCAATAAATTAAAAATATGCAGGGTGTCCCATACAAAAATCAAATTTTCTGTTGATAATTCTGAAATTACTAATTTAAAAAAAATATACTTAAACCATTAAATTCTACGTAAAAAGGTGCTTTGGAAATGTTTTCATAAAAATACAACATTTTCCATAGCAAAAAAGTTACAGCAATTTGTAAAAAATACACATTTTTGAAAAACACCCCGTAACTCTGAAACGGTAACAGATATCCATATGCGGTTTTCACCATCATGTTTTTGACAAAAATTAAGCTCCAGACACCGATATTAGTTTTCATCTATCTCATATAGAAAAGGCTGTAAAAGCGCCCTTTAAAAGCGTCCAATTTGGCCCACCCTGTACTTGGTTGGGTATAGATTTTACAGCATTTACTTTGGATTTTGAGTTGTGAAATATTTGCATCATTCGGCCTGGAAAACTTACTTATAACAGCAGAAACGAAATAAAATTTAATGTTAAAGTGTCCACATTTTAATAGTTTACGACTACAGTTTAGCAACAGAAATTAACTTTCGATAAATAATTTATTCTAAATATGACATATATAGCTATTTAACAGTACATACTTAATTAACGCATGAAGACAAATTTTGTTATTTGTGCTTTATGCAATTATATGTAACATTTACTAAACACCTAATAGTAATATGACACCTTTACTAAAACTATTTTTACTACTATTTAGTTTAAAGATATTTTTGATCACACATTAAAGGTTCTAAAGTATTAATTTTGTTTTTAAGGAAATCATTACATTTGATTTAAAATATTTCACTTGAAATGATAAATTGGCAATTCTAATTCTCTTCCAGATGCATTTAAATATAAAAATTAAAAATGAAATACGATAAGTATTTTTTTTTCTTAAAAATCTAATTTTAGAAAATATTAATTTGTTATTGAACAATTATGTCAATATAAATTTATAATTTAAGAAATACCTGAGTAATCAACTTCATATTTGTGATTAATTAGGCCCAAATATATAATATACTACACTAAACACTGTCACACCAATATGAGATCACAATAAACTTCTAAATTTGTACTTCGGTGGCAGTGATGAACTTTTGGTCTTGTACAGAATTGAGTAAGCTTTTCTGATATTTTTTGCTTTTATCGTGCCTCCCTCCATAGATGAAGATTAGCTCTAAAGTTATGATGACCAACGAGTACGTATGTCTAGAGTGCGTAGTATATTACATATATATGTATTTTTGCAGACTACGTTAGGTTGCTTTTCATACATGTGATGTGAAGATAAGACTGATTTAGTATTATTGAACGGATAATAAATGTGAGATAACATTTTCAGTGAAAATAATCAGAATATTCATACTTTCAATGAAAGTGGGAGCTAGTTTTACTTTTCTTTATTTTGGCTAAATGTTTCCAGATTTTTGAGGCGATATTAAAGAATTGGCTTCCAAAACTAGTTCATTCAATATCAATTAATTAATCACACGTAACACTTTACGAATCTTAATCTGAGGTTAAGGTCAAAATCAGAACAGACAAGTACTTTTCGGAACCTCAATAATGCCTGCCGAGCTTGTTCGATGCGACATTTAATTTCCTTGTCCAATCTTCGGAGAGCCAGATGCCCAAGTACTTAAATTGATCTACTCTTTCTATGGCCTTATATTAAATGATATAATGGAGTTTATAACATATCTGGATTTCTGGATATTATCATAAATTTAGTTTTCTTGATGTTTGTTTATGTTCAAACCCATTGCTACTCTGTTTTCCTACCTTGTTGAGCAGTTGTTGTAGATCGTGTATATTATCTGCAATCAAGACCGTATCGTCGGCGTAGCGGATGTTATTAATCCACACTCCGTTAATTTTGACTCCCATTTCCACGTTCTCTAGAGCCTCTTGGAAAATAGCCTCTGAGTACAAATTGAATAGGAGTGGAGGCAGCACGCAACCCTGCCGCACCGCCCTTCTAACTTGTATGGGATTGGACATGGTATTGGCCAATTTTATTTGTTTTCGATGCATTGTCAATATATTGGTCAACTACTTTTTTTAAATGCGCTGACAGGCAATTTTCAGTAGAACTTTTTCTAGTGTCTTAGACTGTTGGAGAATTCCCATTCCATGCAGATTTATAACTAATGTATTCTTATGGAGCCAAGCTCACATGCAATCAAATAGTCGGCCGATTGGCTCCATAATAATGTATTGTTTTTACTTTTGCAACTAAATAGTTAGCCGACTAAAAATTGCCTGTCATCACAGATCCGTTAATTCCTATTTTTCTTTTATTTATATTCTCATCATTCAATTTATATCATCATGTAGATTAGCAATATATCTGCCCACTCTAATCATAGATCTTCGTTTCCAATAAACAATAGCGGAATATTAACGACAAAGTAGTAAATGCTTTTGCGCTAACCTTGACAACATAGTAAGTTAGCTTATCGTTCTTGAATTAGTAGAATGTGTTAAATGATAACACCGAGCTAATGATGTCCTGCAATTTTTTCCCGATTTTTAATTTACACCTTACACCTTCATGCGATCTATTAATGCATCTTCGGCATATTTTTTTCAATAGTAATATAAATATACTCTATACCATTGTATCGGGTTCATTTATTGAAAATAATCTTACTCTTTAGGAGGAGAATTCTTCAAAATAAAAAAAAATGTACACCAATGCATTGAATCCAAACGGAACCAGCTTGTCAGTAGCTTTTTACTAGTAAAACAGATTTCCCTAACCGAGAAAAATACTTCCCTTCGGTAGAAGAAAAAAATCAAAAAGGAAAAAGAAAGAACTCTTCAAAATATCTCAATGAAACTATTTAAGAGCATTTTATAGATATAGAAGATACATTTATTATAAAATGTCGACATTCTCTTTCGTTGTTTCTCTTCCAGTGGGAAAAATTCCCGATTTTTTTGAAGAAATAATAATACATAAATATAAATATAATTTTGCTATTTTTAATCAGTTTAATAAATAAATTATACTGTTGCCGGTTGTCAAATATATGCAGGTATTTTCTCAACTATTTTTAAAATACTTTGCTCCATAAAAATAAATTCAGTATTTAAAACTCAAATTTCATATTTGTGTTTTTTAAACTTATTCCAAAAGTGTTAATGTGGATTATTAAACATTTGACATTGATTTGTTTACAAATATACCAAAAAATATTCATGACGATTTTTAGGATATTTATTTGCATTATCATCTAATAATTGTTTTATCACGTTACTATATATTTTGGGTTATCCCATTTTTAACTGATTTAAAAGCAGAAATTAGACAACTAATGTCATGCCGGATTTACCTAATCTAATCATGGAAAAAATCTAACTCATGTCTAAAATAAAACATAAGTCAGAAGTGGCAGTATTATTATAATTAGTTAAGCATATAAATAACAACTATGAATAAAAATTAACTAATATGTAAAAAATGCTTTATTAAATGAAATAGTAAAAAATCAATAATAAAATATTTTAAAAACATTTTTGAAATGTGCTCAGCTCTCTTTTTAAGAGTGACACTCAGTGATTAGTAGTGGCTAAATAGCAAATGGGTATAATAAAGAAATTTGGGTATATGTATACCTGGTATATACCCAGAATTTTCAAAAAGTAGGAACTAAAGAACTTTTTTATCAGAAAGTTGGCTGGAAAAGAGTTTTCTTGGTTTTTAATTTTAATTAAAGTGAAACTGAAAATTATAGACAATCAGAAATTAAAAATATAGTTTATTGAGGACTTTTTTCTGGTCACGGCATTTGTCCTATTTTTGGGATATTTATGATTAATATAATTTAATATATAATTTAAAATATATCCTACAGCCGGCAGTTCAGCAGCCGACTATTTTTAATAAAATAGTTTGGGTACCTAGGTCGACTAGGCTTTAACTGAGTACTTAGGATTCATAATCCTGAGGTAATAGAAGACGGTTAAAGCGTATAGTACTAGCCACATTACCTTTCCTTGTATACCGAACGGCTCTAGCATGGCAAGCTGTACCTTGCCACTCCAAAGGCGTTAAACGCTATATACCGGAGCTATTATATTTATAAAATATGGACAATAATATAGTCGAAATCTTCCCTGAATCGTTTCACAGACTATATACTGTTATTAATATTAATTTATTAAAATTCAAGAAAAATATACCTATTTTATATGTTCTTATATGTTAAAACTTAAATTTTTATTACTTTTGTTTATCATAAAATATTAAATATATTGCATGAAAGAAGTCAATAAATTAGAAAATTTATATGGCAAATTTCGCCAAAGACAACGTAATATCAAATGTCCATCTAATATTTTTTTTGGTTTTTAACTTTTGACTTATATTCATTTCAATCCAGGGTCTTCAGTTTCAAATACAGGGTGTTCAATTTAAAATAGCTGAGAAAATATTACGTCAGGATTAAGGTAAGGTTTAGTTTTGTAAACAACTCTGCGTTAAATCCAAAGGGAAAGCACCTTGTCAGTGATTTGTCCAGACACACAAATATATTTCCAAAAAATTGTTTTTTCTCGAATTTTAAACTAGTCAAGTATACTCTGTTTTTTTTTCTCAGGTAAGATTTCGACAGACGATGACAGAACAAAAGCAGATGACGTCCCATACCAATCTATTTATTTTACTAAAAAAAGTTTCTAATATTTTTTAAGTTAACTATGGATGGGTTTAAATATAAATCCGTCATACGTCGCCTCTTGTTGTTTTTAACCAGTTTTATTGGTTTATTTCAAAAATGACAGATCATATTTCAATTTTATTGGTTTGGCGGAGCCTTTGGACGGAACGATGAACGACAAACGGACGCCGATACGTATGACCTCGCCTTTAGATTTTTGAGACTTGTCAAAGTCTTGCCAAATTATAAGTTATAATTTTCTGTCAACTTATGTCAAATATGTATCTGCGTTTTGGAAGATATCTTTCAATTTTATTGGTTTGACGGAACGATGATATGATATGATAAACGACAAACGGACGCCGATACGTATGAACTCGCCTTTAGATTTTTGACGTTTGTCAAAGTCTTGCCAAATTATAGGTTATAATTTATAATTTTGTGACAACTTTTGTCAAATACCCTGCGTTTTGGAAGATGATGCATTTTGATTCGTGTTATTACGTGTGTTTTGTGTCTTTTGAAGTCAAGTGGAGGAAAAATCGTAGGAAAATTAACTGTAGATCCAGAGCACAGTTTATAGTTAATACTCGCTGCCCAGGCAGAAAGTCTTATGCACCAATAAAGTTATCTTCAATAAAGTTTGTATACCATCTCGTCGAAGATAAGTGCATCTCGTATATGCTACAAGGATCGTACTAAACGTATACTACTGGAGTAGCTCTGTAAAATATCGACATAACACGATAGGATAGGTCAATAATGGATTTTAGTACTGCAGAAAAATAATGTCAAAAGGCACTGGTTTCATAAAATTAAGATTAAAGTTAATTAATCAACCTTTAAAGGTATAAAATTTGGTTAGTATTATTATTAATAAAATAGTTTGTTTTATTTATGTTGTTTTATTTATTCCTGTAGAATATTACAAATATGTATTTGTACATAAGTTATATTGATAAGTTTTTTGAAGCTTGAAGGTAAGAAATACCTAGTTCTTTTTTATATTTTTTTTGGTAAGTGGTGTTTTGTTCTTGTTTGTTTTGTATTAACACATACCGTTTTTTTTAATAAAACAACTCGATTACATTTTTTCAGTTTTATACAGTTTTTTTTCACATTATTTTGAAGTAATCACTTATCAGTCAAATTTTAAATATATTAATTTTCTGCTATGCGTTCCAGTTGTACCAACTTTTTTTTTGTAAAATAAAATAAACTACTTTGAAATTAAAATGAGAGACACATCTATCACTGTCAAGGATCTTGTCGTTGGACAGACTATAAGTTTTAATCTAGTGTGCTATTTAAAAATCATTTTTACTCAACAGAAAAATAAATTTTCTCTCAACCCTCTTAAGACCAGCTGGGAGTAAGCGCCATTAAAAATTAAAGAAGAGTACGGGCAAAGTAATGACGCCTAGTACGGTGTTTGTGTGAATTAAATC